AGCTTTCAGAATAATAAATGAACACTTCTGTTTGGAATAAAATAAATACAAATTAGGTTTGAAAATAAAATAAACTTTTAAATTATTGCAGAGAGTCCATATTGTAAACAAACAAACAAAATAAGGAAAGTATTTGGCACTGACGAACTCCTCATCTGCCCGTGGATCATCAGTCCACTGTGACGTTAAACCAAGGACTGACATCGCGCACATACTGCTTGTCTTTACCTCTTCAGAAAGTTTTGGCACCATTATCTCCCTGATGTATGGGCGGCTGGGAATTTCATATCGCGGCTCAAGTATGCTGAGAAGAATCCTATGTTTTCCACGACTGGCATTGGCTGGTCATCCAGAGCGATAAAATGAGTCAGAGCCTCTGTTATTTTACCTGCCCGTGGATTTTCTCTTGACATTTTTCATCACTTTTCCAAAACCTGAGTTAAAGTTGGCTGTTCCGGTCCACACTGCTGACATTTTGTTTTTAGTCTAACTACAGCAGCCTCCAGTTTCTCTTTTTTATCTGGAGCCGCCAGTCTGACTCGCCAAACCCTGTACCTGTTTAGCGTGAGATGTCCCCCTAGTGGCCAATCTAAAGAACTACAGAAATGACATGCCACCATCTGATTAAAGAAATAAGTTAGTATCGGTTCATGGTATCGGTTAACTTTTACGAGTATGAGTACACACACATTTTACAGTATCGGTCCCGATACCCGATACCAGTATCGGTGCATCCCTACATTGAGATCAATTAAAGTGGAACAGAGCACAACAATAACAAGGAGTGTGAGTTTGTTCTGTGTGTATGAACAGTGGTGCACCACAGGGCTCCATGCTGGGACATCTGCTGTTTAACATTTCTTGCAGCACGTTAACACAACACGTTAACGTCAGCTTCTATGCTGACAACTCTCTCACTTCACTGAGTTACTGGTTCTGTCACTAGTAGCTATAACAAACCAGTTACTACCGATGGTAACCAGAAAACCCAGGAATGTCATGTTCTTCAGCAGGATGACGCTACACTTGCTATAAAACCTGCAAACTGAAACAGTCGTGTTTAAATCTGTGAGAGTAGATCACTGTGATGTAGATCATGTCCTCTGTTCCTGTAAATATATGAGAGGTTTTCTAGAACAATCTCACAGACTCCAGTAAACAAACTGTAGAAAACGCTGACCTTCAGCAGCAGAGCAACAAAGAGTCATGACTTACTTCTTAAGACGCTTTGGTTAAAAACACCACGAACTGTGTTTTTAGTGCCAACAATGCTCGCTGATGATGAGCGGTCTAATCTCCTGGTCCTGACGGTGTAGAGTAGCAAAGGTCTTCACCACCATCTTCAACCTCTCACTGCTACAGTCTGTCGTACCATCCTGCCTGTGAGCAGCCACCATCGTTCCAGGGCCCAAGAACACGGTGAGCTGCTTGAATGACCATCGTCCACGTGCTTTAACAGCCATAATTACCAAATGTTTTGAGCAGCTCATCATGTCGCACATTAAAGCTGCCATCCCTGCAGACCTCAATCCACACCAGTTTACATTCAGGGCAAACAGGTGGACAGAGGACGCCATACTTACAGCTCTTCACAAAGCCCTCACCTGGGCAGTAGTAACCCCTGTGTGAGAATGCTGTTTGTGGACCAGCTCTGCCTTCAACACAGTTCAACCCCACAGACTGGTTAATAAACTAAGCAACTCATGACTCAGCAGCTCACTGTGCAGCTGGATACTGGACTTCCTGAGCAACAAACCCCAGAACATCAGAATGGGAGAGCACACCTCCACCCTCATTCTGAATGTGGGCGTCCCACAGGGGTGTGTCCTCAGTCCCCTCTTATACTCACTTTTCTCCCATAGCTGTTCACCAATCCACACCAGTAACACCTTTATAAAATTTGCTGATGACAGCACCGTCATAGGACTGATCGACAACAGCGATGATTCAGCTACAGAGAGGAGGTTCAGCATCTGAACACAGCCGAGACCAAGGAGATGGTAATCAACTTCAGGAGAACAAAGCGATCTGAGCACTCCACCCTCTACATTGATGGAGGAGGTAGAAAGGGTAGAAAGCTTTCCTCGGAGTCCACATCTCGGCCGACCTCACCTGGTCCACAAACATCTCCCACCAGGTAGGGAAAGCACAACAATGGCTGTACTTCCTCAGGAAACTGCATCAGGCCCAGTTACCCCAGAGTCTGCTAGTAAACTTTTACCGTTCCACCATCGAGCCTTCTGACCTCCTGCTGCACACTCTGGTCCAACTGCTGCACCACGGAGGACAAGAGGAAACTGCAGCGGGTGGTGAGGGCA